GGGGTGCATACTTACTATTATTCAATGGTGTTGCGGATTTTCCTGCTTTGTTCTACCTTTCCGAGGCGGGGACAATGTAAATTCTGGGTTTGATATTAGCACTTGAAGTAACAGAGGGCTTTAAAACACTATAATTGCGCTTATTGGAAGTCAGATAAATACTTCCTAAACATCATCCGCAACTACGTGTGTACTTTTATTGCTTGCTATCAAAAAAAAATTCGTTTTTACGCTTGCCATATTCTTGGACCGTCCGATAAAATTCTACTTTATTACATTCCTGATAAGGTACCGGTTTACATGGCCATGCTTTAATCGTCTATGATTAAATAGATAGATTCTAGCGTTACTAGAAATTTTACCACTGCCAAGTTAGCAATGCTTTTCAGAATACTGAATCTTCTCTAGTGGAAATTAAGAATGGACAATTTTTGTAGCATGCGACCAGGGCATATGTTTTCATAACAGTAGTTTATTTGGTCTTTTTTCAGGAATGCTGCTAGGTTTCTCTTTGTTGCTACTGCTACCATTTTAGTAGTATCACAGTATTAATTAGTTGGTCGTTTTGCACAAATTGTGGAGTCCACCGTATACTCTGCTACTGACTTCGCGGCATCAGTTCCATTTTTTGCTGTTTGTACAAGAAATATCCAATTACTATGTGGTGCTCCTTAATGTGCATATCAAATAAAATGAATGCATTCCGTTTTTGGTTAGATGCAAGTGCAATTTTCCTTAACTAAGTTGTTTTTGTTCCAGAACGAAAGCGCGGATAGGAATATTATTCTTTGGTGCAGATCAAGCAAACTACCAGCATGCATGCACATGCATTATCAGCTGTGTCATGTCACACAGATCAATTACCTTATGATGGTGATGTCCGTGCTTTCCGCCTATTCTCTGCAAACAAAGGCCAGCTTGCACATCTTTAACCTTGTCTCAAGCAAATCGTGCCCTACATAAAGCCTATGTGCCTATTAACACTTTGAAACTTTTTTTTACTTAATCAACCCATGCGCCTTAATGGTTGGTTTTGAGTCTTTCCTTGGGGAGTGGCTACCCGTAGCGCAATGTCCTAAATCCCATTTCCTTCGCAGTCTACTTGCTCCACTTGGTACTGACTTGCGTGCTGAGTTGTGTCGCCTTTTACACTATACTCACCACCTCTATTTGTTCCACGTGATGCACGTGCCCATGTACTTTCAGATCGGCTTTCGTACTTTCCGCCCTCCATCATCACTCTCGTGATTCGCTTATCATGACGTGGGTGGAGGTGGGGAGACCACCCATCCGAGGACAATATACTGGATTACGGACATTGTCAACGTCAGAATAAATGTGGGTGTCAAAATGGACGATCGCAGTGAATGTACTGGCATTTTCACAAATGGTGCGGCTTACAATGATACATGGACAGTACTACTCAAAACACGTCAGTGATCTCGCATGATTGCATGTCAGATGCGAATTGCTCTTCTAACGGTTATTTGCCTAACAACATTGCCATTTGCTATTATGCGATTTT